CCTCTCCCCCTTTTCCTTTTCCCTCCTCCTCCTCCTCCTCCCTCGTCTTCCTCCTCCTCCTCCTCGTCGTTTTCCTCCTCCTCCTCCTCGTCTTCCTCCTCATCGTCTTCCCCTCCTCCTCCTCCTCCTCCTCGTCTTCCTCCTCCTCCTCCTCGTCTTCCTCCTCCTCCCTTCCTCGTCGTTTCCTCCTCCTCCTCCTCGTCTTCTCCTCCTCCTCCTCTCGTTTCCTCCTCCTCCTCTCGTCTTCCTCTCCTCCTCCTCGTCTTCCTCCTCCTCTCCTCGTCTCTCCTCCTCTCCTCCTCGTCTTCCTCCTCCTCCTCTCTGTCTCCTCCTCCTCCTCCTCCTCGTCTTCCTCCTCCTCCTCCTCCTCGCTCTCCTCCTCCTCCTCCTCGTCTTTCCTCCTCCTCCTCCTCCTCTTTTCCTCCTCCTCCTCTCGTCTTTCCTTTCCTCCTCCTCCTCCTCTCTCCTCCTCCTCCTCTCCTTCCTCCTCCTCCTCGTCTTCCTCCTCCTCCTCGTCTTCCTCCTCCTCCTCCTCCTCGTCTCCTCCTCCTCCTCCTTCCTCTCTCCTCCTCCTCCTCTCTCCTCCTCCTCCTCTCGTCTTCCTCCTCCTCCTCCTCGTCTTCCTCCTCCTCCTCGTCTTCCTCCTCCTCCTCTCGTCTCCCTCCTCCTCCTCGTCTTCCTCCTCCTCCTCCTCCTCCTCTTCCTCCTCCTCCTCCTCCTCGTCTTCCTCCTCCTCCTCGTCTTCCTCCTCCTCCTCCTCCTCGTCTTCCTCCTCCTCCTCACTGCTAATCTTCTGTTCTCATCTTTCTCACAAAAACATTACTCTAGTTTTTCTTGAGTGTCGTCTAGCACAAAAGGAACATTTGTATTACTTAGAAAATAAGTAGAGCAGAAAATTGGATTCATAACATAGAGAAAGAGAGAGAGAGAGAGAGAGAGAGAGAGAGAGAGAGAAGGAGAGAGAGAGAGAGAGAGAGAGAGAGAGAGAGAGAGAGAGAGAGAGAGAGAGAGAGAGAGAGAGAGAGAGAGAGAGAGAGAGAGAGAGAGAGCTGAATATAATGTGATGACACAACTACTGATGGTGCAATGTGATCATGACAGCAATTACAGACCAAATCGTTATAGATAACCCAAATTTTTAAACATACAAACTCATCAAAAAGATGTATGATAAAGCTCATGGAGCGGAGAGATAGAGTGAACTTAGTGGCGACTAGTGAAGAGGCGGGGCCAGGAGCTATGAATCCTTCTATCCAATCTCCCTTCCAAGCTACCCAAGATTTTAGACTCTATAACCCCACTCGGTACATCATCAGATGCAGCATTCTCCACCTGACCACAGCATTCTGAACCTGACTATATATACCCCTGTACCTTCCACCCCAGGTACATCTGTTTGTGACTTGAAAAAGCCCACTGTGTGGGCGAAACGTTGTCAATAAAGGATCACATTACACTGCATGTGTTTAGATTTCCATGAATCCTTTTACTCATATGCAAGTTAATTGTTCTAACATATTGTATTACTACTAATACTACTACTTATATCACTACTACTACCACTAGTACTGCACCTCACTCTGAGCCTATATATACCCTCTGTGTCCATGTACTGTTTGTAACGGCTTGACAAAGCTCCTGGAGAGCGAAACGTTGCCACAATAAAATGTCACATTAGTTGCACTTGTGTCCTTTTACTTTACAACCACCCAGGTGACAGAAATTTCACATGTGGAGCCCAACAACCTGCTAGGATTCCATAAATGCTTACACAAGACCCCCCCCCCTCCCCAGCAATCATTCAGATCCGACGAGCACTTACCTTCCACCACCAGCAACATCCCCGTGGGTAGGAAGACTCACCTCGGGATCCCCAACATCCCGCTAGGTGGCTAGGACTTACCCTTGACTAGGAAGACTCCCTCCAGGATAGCTTGGACTTGTGCAAGACAGGTATACAATACCGACAAGATAATCATGGAATCTTGTTGTAATAATGTTGGTAGAATTACCGACAATATGCAAAGTAAAAGGACACAAGTGCAGCTAATGTGACATTTTATTGTGGCAACGTTTCGCTCTCCAGGAGCTTTGTCAAGCCGCTACAAACAGTATATGGACACAGAGGGTATATATAGGCTCAGAGTGAGGTGCAATACTAGTGGTAGTAGTAGTAGTAGTGACATAAGTTGTAGTAGTAGTAGTAATGCAATATGATAGAGCAATTAACTCGTACATGAGTAAAAGGATATAAAAGCTATTACTTGGGTAACATAATCTTGGAATCTTGGTTCAGCGGACATCTACATGACCTTCTTCACGGATACTGCAACTAACCCATCAATTTGGGTAGGACCTACTTCCACTGGGGAATCCCGCCTACCAGTGACTGCCCTCGTCTGCTATACGTCCTTATTCACTGACGCCTATATAAGCGCCAGTCTCCTTGCCTGTGCTTCAGAATCTCTACACCCACGGTGCTCTAAACACCACCTCCAAGGCTGAGGGACTGATTACCTCATCTTTTGTATATAGTTCTTCTGTTTTCTTATTATGTCCAAGAATCTGTATTGATAAAGTCACTGGATGTCGGCTTGACAACATCATGAACAGTAATGGGTTCAATCCTATTATCTGCCTCAGTGCTGGAGGCAATGATGTAGGCAAGTGTAGAAGTGAGGATTTAGTTAGAAGGTTCAGGACAGCAATAGACATAATTAGGAAGAAGGGGGGGGCGCCCTGTTATATGTGGCATTTTGCCAAGAAGAGGTGTTGGTAATGAATGGTTGTCCAGGGCAATTGGTATTAATTGTTGGCTGGATAAACACTGTAAGGATAATGCAGTACCATTCATTGACAACTGGGACAACTTCTATGGCCAAAATGACATGTATGCCAGGGATGGGGTTCACTTATCCAGGGCAGGTGTGGGTTTTCTTGCTAGCTCAGTTGAAGGGGTTGTTAGGATTTTAAACTAGGATTAGTTAGAGGTATGGGTTTAGAAATGATAAATAATGAGTATGGATATATTGACTTATGCTCTGATATTAAGATTATTAATAGTAACTGTCATGGAGTAACTCTGGGAAATGATAATTTCAGAAATTGTGTAAAAAAGATGAATAGGAAAAATGTGCAGAAGAAAAAACATATGATGGTATTTTATACTAACAGTCGAAGTGCAAGAAATAAGATTAATGAACTACATTTGGTAGCATGTGCTGGGAACTTTGATGTCATTGCATTAACTGAAACGTGGTATGATTTAAAGAGTCGGGATATGATTGCTGAGTGTAATATTCAATGGCTTAAGCTTTTCCATGTGGATAGATGTAATGGGAAGGGGGCAGGAGTTGCATTATATGTTCGAGAAAATATTAACTGTTGCATAAAAACAGGTATAAAAATAGATGGAACAGTAACAGAATCTGTTTGGGTAGAGTTTGTAGAAGGTCAAGAAAAACTAATTCTAGGTGTAATATACCGACCTCCAGGCTTGGATCACGATAGAGGGAGACTTCTTTGGGACGAAATTGTTAGGGCTTCTAGACACAATAACATAGTCATAGTAGGGGACTTTAACTTTAGTCAAATTGACTGGAATTCTTTGACAGGTAATCTAGAGTCCAGTGACTTTATGGAAACAGTTCAGGACTGTTTTCTGAAGCAGTGTGTAACAGAGCCTACCAGGGGTAATAATTTGCTTGACCTAGTCTTGTCAAATAAGGAAACACTCGTAAATAATCTGGAGATCACTGAAGAGCTTGGCGCAAGTGATCACAAATCCATCACTTTTAGCATTAACTGGGAATACAAGAATAATGATAATACGGTAAAAATTCCTGATTTTCGTTCTGCCGATTATAATGGACTTAGGGAACACCTGTCAAATTTCGATTGGGGGTTATCTAGGTAATGATTTTATTGACGATGATCATACTTATGATTATGAAGGGATCTGCATTTATGATTTTTTTCTTAATAATGTACACCGTGCTCATAGTATATACATTCCCCAGAGAGAAATTAGGTCTAACAATAACGATACCAAATGGATTAACAGGAGGCTAAAGCATATATTATGGGAGAAAAGGGGAATTCATAGGCGCATCAGAAGAGGAGAGGTTAACCTTACTAACCAATATGTCCAGCTTAAAAAAGTAAAAAAGGGGATTAAAAAGGCTAAACGTGAATTAGAGTTGCTAATGAATCAAAGACTAATCCAAAGGGTTCTACTTTCTGTCAGTTTGTACACAGAAAGATGTAAATGAGATTCCAGTAATTAACAATTATTTCGTTCCTGATGAATTTAAATTAACTAATATTACTGTCACGAGGGACATGGTTATTAAACAGATAGAAAAACTGAAGGAAAATAAGTCCCCGGGACCCGATGAGTTGTTTTCCAGGGTATTTAAGGAATGCAAGATGGAGCTTAGTCAGCCATTAACGAGTGTGTTTAATGCGTCCATCCTTACCGGTGTTGTGCCAGAGTTGTGGAAGATGGCTAATGTGGTTCCTATATTCAAATCAGGAGATAAGTCCACTCCTTCAAATTACCGTCCAATAAGCCTGACATCTATAGTGGGCAAGTTATTAGAATCAATTATAGCTGACATTATTAGAAGTCATCTTGAAGAGCATAACTTGATAAACGAATCTCAGCATGGCTTCACGAGAGGTCGTTCCTGCCTGACAAATTTACTGACGTTCTTCAACAGAACATTTGAGGCAGTTGACAGTGATAAAGAATATGATATTGTTTATTTGGATTTTAGTAAAGCCTTCGATAGAGTACCTCACAAGAGACTCTTAAGAAAAGTGGCAGCTCATGGTATAGGAGGTAAAGTTCTAGTATGGATAGAGGCATGGCTTACCAATAGAAAGCAGGCACCCTCCAGGGTACCAATGACTTACCCTCGACTAGGAAGACACCCTCTAGGGTGGCTAGGACTTGTCCCTTGACTAAGAAGACTTCCTCCAGGATAGATAGGACTTACCTTCGACTAAGAAGACACCCTCCGCGGTGGCTAGGAGAAGGCGGGTATCTCCCCAGGAGTCACCGCAGGTCACCTCGTAGGGAAGTCAGGATAGCAGCATTGTGGCTCCCACGGCTGCGGGCAGACGCATGCCAGCTTAGTGCCGCAGGTGGCGGTAGAGAAGCTAAACGGGGGGAGGGGAGAGGAGTTGGGGAGGTTGGTGTTGAGAAAGGAAGTAGTAGGGGAGTGGTGGTGGTGGGGTGAGATAAGAGAAAGTAGCTGTTAACTGGAGGTGGGATAACGAGGGAATGAAGGATAGAGAATGTCAGAGAAGCCAGAGTGCGTCAGTTTTAAAACGTCATGGAGCGCCAGAGAGCGTCAAAGATTGTCAGAGAACGTGGGATTAATATATATATATATATATATATATATATATATATATATAATATATATATATATATATATATATATATTATATATATATTCAAAACAATCGCAGACAGGTGATCTTAACGATGCAAGACAAGCTACGGTGGGTGGAAATCTTTAGCTCAAGTACTTTCACACTTCTCAGTGCATCATCAGGAGCTGTGAAATGTTGCAAAGGCAACAAGAGAAGCACGGTCAGTTTTCAGAGTGGTACTGTGGATCCAGCTAGCCAGCCACTCTATATCTGAGAGACAAGAGGGATGCCATCACACACCGGTCCCCTCCCCCCACACTCCAAATGGAGGTGGGTGGGGTAGGCCTCACAGTTTGCAGATAACATGAGGAAATACTAGAAGATAGTTAATATCCAGCCCTAAGCTTCTAACCGCCGGGAACAGGTCATGTGACGCAAAAAGTTACAATATTAGAACATTACATACCTTCATTTACACCCTTCTAACTAATGAAATAGAGGAGAAAAAATCCCTCATTTGTCAACCGGTGTCGCCGAACCTTCCCGAACAATCAGGAAATACTCGAAGTGTCAGTTAATAAGCTTGTGTGATTTTTTTCCTCCTATACAGGCTTTCTCATAAAAACTAGGCTAGAGCACTTAGCTCACACACTGAGGTCCGGGGATCGAATCTCCTTCGGTACAGCTGGAAAACATTAAAGACGTGTTTCCATGAAACACCTGTTGTCCCTGTCCATGTTCACCCATCATTTTAAAATGGGTACCTGAGTGTTAGTCGACTGGTATGGGTCGAATCCTGGGACAAAACTGACCTATTTTGCCCGAAATGCTCAGCATAACAAGCGGCTTTCTATATAGTAGTATGTCACTGATGTCAGCTAGGACTGTATACCTTGTATATGTACTTGTAGTAAATAAAGATATTATTATTATTATTTTTATTTTTATTAATGCCATTCCTATCAATATTATCCGCTAATGTCATTATTATCATAATCATAACTAGGCTACTCTTAACTTTGATGTTAATCCTATCATTATTATCAACGATCATCAGCTAAAGATTTCCACCCCCCAACAACCATAGGGGGAGTTGAGTGATAGCTCCAGGCCTTTCGTGTTACAATTAACACATCACGCTGCCATACTCTGAGAAAACTTCCCCTCATTTCTCCTGTTGCTACCTTTGCAACATTGTAAAACTCCTGATGACACACGGAGAAGTGTGAAAGTATTGAGCAAAAGATTTCCACCCCCCATGGCTTGTCTTCATATATATATATATATAAAATATATATATATATATATATTATATATATATATATATAATATATATATATATATATATATATATATATATATATATATATATATATATATATATATATATATATATAATACACTAGAGAAAATTTTAAAAAGGACTTAATTTTAAATGAGTTCTTGGTAATTGGCCAGTTTTACCTATTCGACACGTGGTTGGAATAGTAGTGAATGTATGACGACACATCGGTGGACTTTCCATAAACTGTGAATTTGAATTTTCTGTCTACCCGATGGATTAAAGCATGTAGGAACGGCAAAGTGTTATTTATTTCATGTTCTGTGGTGAACTTAATGGAAGGTACTAAGCCACTGAGTCTGGGAAGAAACTCATCAATGTTGTGATCATTAGGCCACAGGGCAAAGAACATCATCTACATATCTGAACCAACTTGTTTTATCTGGGAGAATGTATTTAAGAAGTCTGGTCTCATAGAATTCCATGTACAGGTTGCTGAGTAAGGGACTAAGGGGATTTCCCATTGCCATGCCTTGTTTTTGAGCACAGAATTTCCCTTCAAACACAAATTTGCAATCAGTAACACAAAGTTTTATCAATTCAATTATTGTTTTCGTGGGGAAGGGCATGGGGAAGTTTTCTAGTTCCTCTTCGAGGTACGAAAGCAAGTCAGGGACAGGGTCTTTAGTGAACAGAGTTGTGACATCAATGCTCACTAAAGAAAAGTCATGAGGGACATTTAATTTCTGGAGCCTCTCAGTGAGGTCAACATCATTTTTAATATGTGCGTCTGAGATCTTACCAACCATGGGAGTTAGAAGTTTAACCAGCCATTTAGATAGATTATATGTTGCTGAGCCTACTGAACTAATAATGGGACGGGCTGGGTATCCTGGCTTATGGGTCTTGATTACCCCATATAGATATGGTAGAGTTGCTGATCTAGCCGACAGATATTTAATTAATTCATCATTCCCCTTCAATAACGTTTTAAGGTGTTTATTAAAATGACTGCTAACTTGGTCAGTGGGGTTTTTAATGAGCGGTTCATACGTTTCATTTTCACTCAATAAATTGTTTATTTTCTCTAAATATTCAGTTTTGTCCAAAATAACAGCTACCTTAGATTTATCACCTCGTGAGAGGTGCAGAGGGGGATGGCAGTAGGGTGGGGTTAGCACTGACCACTGACCACATTCTGAGGGAAACCGTGGACGGTGACACATCTGCACTACGCTACCCTGAGAACTCTCCCTGCTTTAGTTGCTCTCTTGCAACGTTGCACAGCTCCTGATGATGCAATGAGAAGTGTGAAAGTATTTGAGCTACAGATTTCCACCCCCTGTGGCTTATCTTGCATAGTTAAAATCGCATGTCTCCGACCCTAATAGGGTCGGAGACCCATGGAGCATGGGGCAAGTGTGCTCTAAAGTTCCTCAAAGAGCTGGGTGAAAAGCTCGTCATAGAAACCAAGGACCACAGGGCGACTAGCTTCCTCTTTCAGAGACTCAGTGTTGCGATCCAGAGAGGAAATGCCTGCAGCATTCTGGGCAAGCGTCCCACCGCCGGGGAGCTGGACGAAGTATTCGAGATGTAGCTCTGAGTTGTTATCTATGTTGTTTCACTTTCTTTTGTATTTTTGTGAATGTTTTGTGAATGTATTTTGTCTTTAAATAAAATATTTATCATATATAGGGGGTGGTAGGCAAGTTTATTCTTTTCTCTGAGGATAAGGGTCCATAGGACAGTTCTAGAGGTGTACCTCCCTTTAAATATATATTAATATATATATAATACTATATATAATATAATATATATAATATATATAAATGTGTGTGTGTGTGTGTGTGTGGTGTGGTGTATGTGTGTGTGTGTGTGTGTGTGTTGTGTGTGTGTGTGTGTGTGTGTGTGTGGAGTGTGTGTGTGCGTTGTGTGTGTGTGTGCGTGTGTGTGTGTGTGTGTGTACTCACCTACCTAGTTGTACTCACCTAGTTGAGGTTGCAGGGGTCGAGTCCAAGCTCCTGGCCCCGCCTCTTCACTGGTAGCTACTAGGTCACTCTCCCTGTGTGTGTGTGTGTATGTGTGTGTGTGTGTGTGTGTGTGCACGTATTAATGTGCGTGTGTGTGTTCTTGCGTGTAAACACACACACGCACACAGTTGTCGCTGACATAATCAATTTGTTATCGGTGTTGTCTTCCGCAAATTACATGTACAGTTAGTTTACAAATCATTTATCTGGTACCGTGGCGTGGCTGGAGGCCGGGGCTCTGCTGCAAAGACTGACATTACTCTTATTAGTTTGCTTTATGACTCGTAAGTCACTTGTAAGACTGTTCGTTTACTGGAAAACGACTCTATTGTTGGTCCTGGCCAGCTCAAGGGAAAGCGGGCAGCCACTAGCCGATGTATTTTATTTCTGTCATATGGCGTTCCAAAACAAGTTCCATTATTCTGTTTTCCAAGTTTTCATTAATTAAGCTTTCTTCGTTTATGTTATTTATTTGTTTACTTCATTGACTTGTATTGGTATACTTTATTCCATGTGATTTTTTCCTACATATTAAATAGACTAGATCAGTTAATTAAAACAGCAGCGACGTGCAACCTGACTCTCAGATTAATTAACTGTACACAAAGATTTCTCTATCACATCTTCACTAAACCTGGAAAGAGATTATTTATCTTCCTTCTTTTGCCTTTTCGCAACATTAATTTCTTATTTCTGCCGTTGCAACTCGGCGATTAGCGGGGATATTCCTGTTATGGATCCATAAAGTCGGAATTACGGGAAGATGGAGTGGTGCTCTCACACACTATGTGTTTCTGATGCCCAGAAATATGTCGCTCGGTTGGCACCCAAAGGCAGGGAATTGCTGCCGATTAAACTTCGTCATATTACAAATTCTGACGTATCTAACGATATGGAAGAGGAATGAAAGGGGGAGTGAGGGAGAAAGGACAAGGGAGGAATGAAATGAGAGAGTGAGAGAGAGAAGACAAGCGAGGAATGAGTGAACGAATGAGGTAGGAATTTGTTAGTAGGGGAGACGGATGGACGAAAGTGTGTGTGTGTGTGCGGAACAACAGAACAAAATGTATTATATATATATGAAGAGATTCCTGAAAGATAAAGATAAATTAACACAGGTGTTTCCTGGCAGCCAGACTGAGGCAACAGAGAGGCAGTAAGAATACAAGGCGACAGAGACACTGTGGGTCAGGAGACTACAACATGCACAGGTGCGCACACTAATGGCCTCTCTAGACTTGAAAGAAATGGGAAGACAGAGAAGATCGTAGTGTATGTTTGGGAATAAGATTTTGTGCAAGGATTCATCTATCTAAACTTTTCTGACGGAAATTTGTTTAATAGCAATACTTAGATACATTGTCTTTAGGTTAGTTAATGGGGGTTAAATCCCCTTGACTACACGAAGGTCAATAAGAGT